CCTAACGCAATATAATCATTTATTTTATTTTTGTTTATTTAATTTAAGGTTTGAATCTTGCTAGTGTTGAGACTTGAGATAGAGACACGATTCTATTTAAATACAAGAAAACAACATATTCCCACCCGAGCTTTAGGAAAATTCTAAATTAATAACACTAATTTCATTTATTCAAAATACCCACCCTTAAAAAAACACTGTTAGTGACTGTTGGGTTCAAACAGATGCTATTACCAAACTGTCTTTCACCCCATTCCAAACCACCACCACCACACCCGATGGTTTTAACCATTTTCTGGCTACTTTTCCACCTACAACAAGTCCTTCCCTCCTCCTTACACCCTCCTTACCTTTCCCCAGACTTCCCCGCCACCGTTGCTCCGGTCATTCACCGAAAAACGGTGATCATTTGTCTTCGCAACCCCCTTTTCTTTGTAGCCATTTTTCGACTGATTCCCTTATCAGAAATCCCCCAAACCACCACCATTAAAACCCCTATTCTCCCCTCTTCAAAACCCACCCTCACACCACCTTCCCCGCTTACCATTTGTCGTCCACCGGCCCTTCTTTTGCCACCCTCAAGCTGTTTGTGGAAAGTCCCCAACCAACTCACCAAGCTACGACTCACTTTTAAGTTTCGACCACCAAAATTCAACATTCCACTATAAAAAAATACTTCAATTAATCCCTCAAACAAACCCCAAACTTCAATTTTATCAAACAACAATCCTCAACAACCAATTTAAAAAAAAAAATGCTATAAATCCTAGGTTGAGTGGCGGACGACGAACGGTGGGCTGCCAGAGTCGGGAAGGTTAGGGGCTTTATAGGGGGAAGTCGGTGAGCCAATGGGGTGGTCGTGGATGGCGTTGTCAAAATTGGGATCGATCGAAAAAATGTTGGAATCACACGAGTCAACCGTGCGTGGTGGTTAGCAATAGGGGGTGGAATTGCTCAGGAAAGAGAGGGGTTTTGTTGAGGGGATTGTGGGAAGTCTGTTGGTGGTGGTGGGGATGCTCAATGGCATCGAATTCAGGTTGATTTGGCCTAAATACGATGAGCACACGGTGGGAGTAGGTTGCTCAAAGGCAACGTGAATTCGACCAATTTTATAGAGAGGATAGGATGGGGATTCTGATGGTGGTTTCAAGGTGGATTTCTGACACCGGAAATGACTGGAAATTGGCTTGGAAGTTGAATGGTTGCGCGGCGCATGGTTGATGATCAGAGAGCAAGGGACGATAATAGAGGTAAGGGTTTAGTAGAATGGGTTGTGGGGAGTGTGATAGAGGTATTTGGGGGAATTTCTGGCAAAGAAATCAATCAAAAATCTGGCTTGAAAAGTCGGTCGTGCGAATGGAAGGTTGGTTGGGGGCTTTCCACAAACAGCTTGAGGGCAACAAAAGAAGGGCCATTGGACAATAAACGATGAGTGAGGGGAGGTGGTGTGAGGGTGGGTTTTGAAGAGGGGGGGTTAGGTGGATTTCCTACGAGGAAGTCGATCAGAAAATGGCTACAAAGAAGGGGAGTTATGAAGATGAACGGTCGTCATTTTCTAGCAAACAACTAGAGCAACGGTGGTGGGAAAGGCTGGGGATAGGTAAGGAGGGTGCAGGGAGAGTGATGGACCTATTTTAGATGGAAAAATAATTGGAAAATGGCTAAAACCATCGGGTGTGGTGATGGTTTGGAATGTGGTGAAAGATAGTTTGGTAATAACATCTGCCAAAACCCAACCGTCATTAGCGATGTTACTTTAAAGATGGATATTTGGAATAAATAAAATCAATGGTATTAACTTGAGATTTCTTAGTTTACTCTTTAAATACACTTTTCAATCTAATCTAATATACATTTGATTTGGCCGTATATGTGCAAGTGTTTTTTCACGTCAGCAAAAGGCAAAAAATTATTGGAGGGGTAAAACGTTTTTTTTTTCTTTTTTAATTTCAGATATGAAAAAGATAGATAATACTCTTTTAGAAAGTACTATGATAGGTATCATTTTAATCACTTTCTGGAAACCAAAAAAATAAAATAAAATAAAAAACCCCTCTTTATTAAAAATACATTATTAAATACACCAAATGTGCAATGGAATTAAAAAGGTTGACTTTAGCGAATTGATCCGGATTTGTAAATCTAGAAGTGTGCGGTTCAAAAATTAATGAAGCACGAGCACCTGCAAAAAGGGTGTGTTAACAAAAAATACATTTCACAGAGACATTAAATATAAGCAGCATAGTGGTCATAGGCTCGGAGCATTTTGATTGATGCCTTTTATTTTAAAGAATGTTTTTTATATAAATAAAAAGTATTTTTATTAATTTTTAAATATAAAAAATAATTTTTTATTTAAATCTAATAGATTCTTTAAATTTTAGAAAAAAAAATATATTTTTTTAAAAAAATTTGATAAAAAAATAAATTATAAATAAAATATATAAAAATTTATAATTTATTTATTTAAAATTAAAATAAAAAGTAAAATTTAGTCATATATAATTTATTTTTTAATTTATATTTAAAAAATAAAAAAATCGTTATAATGCATAAATTTGAATAAGAATCCTTTGGAGATGTCGGATCTTTCAAACTTGTGACAGACAACCACGTGAAACGCGCGCTTTTGTTGGTCAAATGGTGTGTCCACTCGACTGACATTGAAGTTACAAACACAAGGTTGAATAGTTCTTCTTCCAATTAAAGGGCGGCCTACAAAATGGCTATAAAGAAAAGTACAGGCAGAAAATAGCGTTTTGATTTTAGCAAATATGTAATAAAGGAACCTTAGCTGTCGTAATATAGAGTATGGACACAGCCATTCAACAAAATAGAAACCGTCCATAACACTTTTTTTTTTTTTTTTTATTTATCTTTTAAATTATTAACCTCTTATACTACTTCCATGTAAACATGCTAACTCGTGAAAGGCTTCTTTTGCTATTTTTGTTTTTGGTTTCGCTTTAAAACTTACACAAAAATAGAGAAAGTAGGGTTATCAAACGGTTAATTAAAACTTTTGAGTATATTATTTCAGAGGTCATAAGTTTGATTTATCTCGATCTCTGACCATTAAAACTTTTATCCGATTAGTAGTTCTAGGGTTCTAGGGGATTATTGATCAAGGTCTCGGAGGATTAGTTGAAATATGTAGGATTACTGATCAGAATGTTGGGGGATTAGTTAAGGTATACGTAAGTTGGTCTGGATACTCTCGTTCATGAAAAAAAAAATGCAATGACCGATAGTTCTAGGTAGGGGTGAAATCAAGTCGAGTCGAGTTGAGTATTTGGGTATTTGAACTCGACTTGTTTGCTACAGTATTGAGTTTGAGTCTAGTTGAGCCTGATGAATTGAGTTTGAACTCGAATTTGGCATCTAAAAGTTGAATTCAAGCTCAGTTAATCGAGTTTTAGTTGAGTTTTTCGAGTTTAATAGAGCTTTTCGAGCTTTTGGTATAGTGATCAAACTCGACTTGTATAATTATTCGAGCTACTCGAATTCGAACTCGACTCGATTAATTCCGAGTTGAATTCGAGCCAAGCTCGAGTCTCGCTCAGTTTTTACTCCTAGTTCTAGGGTCTTGAGAGATTATTATGTAGCGACTGTAATTCTAGGGTTTTAAAGGATTAATTGGGATATAATTAAGTTGGCTCGGACACCTTTGATTAGTAAAAAAAATAAAAAAAGAATGCAATTATATATTAAGTATTTACAGTGGTATAAATTAGAATGAAACAGTTATAATTATTGGAAACATCCATCGACGTGACGTGAATCCAAAATATGTCTTGTACAAATTAATTGGAAAGTAGTGACTTTGAAAGCACTAATTAATTTTTTATTGAGAAAATATAAATAAAATAAGGTGGATTTAAAACATAATTACATGACGTATTAAATTAAAAAAGAAAAAAAAGAAAACTTTAACGTTACCTTTTATATTCCATCAAGTCCTGAACCTAACCCATTAACCAACACTGAAAAAATTCAACTACATTCCTTTTGGTTGCTTGCATTCTCCCCAATTTGAACGGTTGTCTTGTCTCCCTAAAAGACAAACCGAAGCCACGGGCCAAACCCAACCCGATCCAAGACCCAAAAGTATGTAAAAGAAAAGAAAGTAGTTTGTTACTTTGTTTCCACCATGTTTATATAGCATTCGAAGAAAATCCTTTTATTTTTTTTATTTTTTTATTTTGGGTTTCAAAAAGGCGCGTGGGTCCCGGAAACTCAGTCGCTTTCCTTGGTACTACCCACTAAACCACGTGGTAGTCAAGACAGAGAAGCGATTGGACATTTTAGAGAATCAAACACTCAATACTCAATAGCCGCGTTTGACGCTTCTTCCTTTCTTTCCTCTTCCTCCTCTCCTGAGACCATTAATATGAAGAGTAATCGACCTTTCCCCCCCACACCCCCAAGGCTTTCCTTAAGGCACCTTCCCACCCAAAAAGTTTAAAATACCGCTTTCCCATCCAAAGTTTGTATTTTATTAATATTTAAAATGCAATTCACTTTCTCAATCAGCATTTGATAAGCTATAAGAGCTAGAGTAGGAGAGGTTTTATAAAGTGGAGACTGGTGGATCGAATGGTGATGATCGATTAAATATTAATTGTTAGAATTAGCCGAAAATCAATTAAAAATAGGAAACCTAGCTTTACAATAGCCGATAATTGGTAAGAAATCAGATATCAGAGTGAGAATAGTTTTACAGAAAAGAAACTGAAAGTTTAAATGGTGGTGAAAGAGAGAATTTTTGTCGTAAAAATTAGTTTTGGCTAGTAATAAAATATAAATTTTGGGTAAAAAAGTGGTTTTTAGAATTTTTTTGGGTGTGATTAGTGTAAAACCTTAGGTGGGAAAAGTCGTTTACTCTTAATATAAAAGGTGGGTCTACTGTTATAGTAAAAAGTTTTAAAATCAATTCACTGGCCAACAAGTTAAAATCAGAAAGCCACTTCTCTCTCTCTCTCCATCGCTTTTTCTCTTCCAATCTCAACAAGACAACAAGAAGTGTCGTCCTCTTCTTTCTCTTTTACTTACCAAACAACATTAACGAGGCTATCAATTTACACACAAACCATGTCTTCTCACTCCATCTCCTTCTTTAAACTACCAAAAAAACTTAGGGTTTTATATTTCATCTGAACTTCTTCATTTTTTTTTTTCAATCTACGAAATTCTCACCCAATTATATTTTTCCTTCATTTTTTTCCCCCATGGAACTACAACTGCCGGAACAGTTTCATGGTCGGCCATTGGAGAATGTTTCCACTTCGGACCAGCCTTGTTTACGTGCAGAAATCAAGCCAGTGCAAAATTTTGATAGTAATTTAAAGGAAATCGAGCTGAAGTGTGTCGATCAATGCCATCACATCCAACAATTTAACGCTACGGAGCTGGTCAAAGCTCCGGAGGGTGCAGTCGTCCAGGATGCTGCCTTGACAGTTAGACATGATGGTAGCATGGTGGATGTAGAGGTCAAGTTTGGCACAATGAGTAATCGGAAGCGGGGACGGCCTCCCAGAGCTAGTCCGGTCAAACCAAAAAAACGTCAGCCTCCGCCGTCGCAGAGGAGAAAGAAAGACGAGGAAGATGTTTGCTTTATTTGCTTCGATGGTGGCAATCTGGTCTTATGTGATCGCAGGTGAGTAATTAATTAGTTGGCTTTCTTTTCTCTCATTTTTCTTGCTAAGAATTTTCTGAAATCTGAATTAGACATTTTCCTTCAAAGAGTGTAATCTGATTTACCTGACTTGTAAGCTGAAGATATTTTCCCCTCACCCAACCTTTTTTTTTTTTTTTTTTTTTTTGTGGTATGGTGATCATTGTCTGGGTTTCAAAGTTAGGGTTTGAAAGTTATAATTTAGTGTGGCAGTTGTTAATGTATCTATTTTTGGTGTTCTGGTAAATTAGGGGATGCCCTAAAGCGTACCATCCTTCATGTATAAAGCGGGACGAGGCATTCTTTCGTTCAAGGGCTAAATGGAACTGCGGTATGTTTTCTTTTATTAATACGTCATAAGTTCTATGTATAATCTTTATTTGCCTGTGTAACGTGTTTCGATTTATGTCTTGCTGTGTTTATTTAAATGCTTGTTTTACTCAAGAAGTCACTTTATCTATTGTAGGTCTTTAGTTACCAATTGTAGTCTCCTTATTTAACTCTGAATATCTTATTATTATTATTATTATTATTTTTTTTTGGAAATTTCCTACGTGAATGTTGATTCTATGATTTATTAATTTGCTATGTGCGTCATGGATTTCAGGGTGGCATATCTGTAGTACTTGTCGGAAGGCTTCATATTATGTGTGCTATACTTGTACCTATTCTTTATGCAAGGGATGCATTAAGGACGCTGATTACTTCTGTGTAAGAGGGAACAAAGGACTTTGTGCAGCATGCATGAAAACTATCATGATGATGGAAAACAGTGCTATACGGAATCAAGGAACGGTATGTTCAACTTTCTTTCCAATGAGGATTTTGATTCTTCTGGTTGCTTACTCTGTTCTGCGAGCTGATTTTTCTTAGCTTGGTAATATTCGAAATGGAAATTTACAAATTTTTAAAAGAAAGGACCTGTTTTTTGGGATCTGTTGCACCTCGCCCTTGTTTGGGTTGCTATCATCGTTCTTATTCAGTTTATACCTAATAAATTTAATGTGGTTTCTTTCTTTCTATTTTTTTTTTTTTTTTTGTTGTTGTTGTGGTTATTATAGCTTATAGCTGTAATTTAAGCTTGGGTTGCATTCTAGTGCCTTTTATTTGTCTCTTTGAAACTTTGAACTTTTTAACAAGGTTGCCTAATTCATATAGCGGTTTTTGGCCATCGCATTTCATTTTTTATAATTTCTCTTTCCCTGGTTCAGGAGCAGGTGGATTTTGATGATAAAACTAGCTGGGAGTATCTATTCAAGGTTTACTGGGTGTGCTTGAAAGAGAAGCTGAATTTAACTTTGGATGAGCTCACTCAAGCTAAAAACCCTTGGAATGGACCTTCTATTAATGCTTCTAAGGGCAAATGCTCTGTTGAAGTTGATAGATCTTCCGTAATGGCTCCTAACGGTGAATCATCTGGTGATGTTACTGCACCTTCTATTAACAAAGGCCCTAGTTCAGAAAATTCTTCTGGGAATGCCGAAGCAAATAATGCTAAGAGAAGAAAGACTAAGAAGCTACCAGAGTTTCTTAACAAGCCGGACTCCCTTAATATGGAAAAATCAGGTACTGATGAAGGAACCTCTCCACACGAGGCCCCAAAATGGGCAACAGATGTTCTCTTAGAGTTTGTTGCATTCATGAAAAATGGTGATACATCAAAGATAACCCCCACAGAAGTCCAGGGTCTTGTGCTGGAGTATGTGAAGAGATACAACCTTTGTGATCCTGATCAGCAGTGTCTAGTTGTTTGTGATGCAAGACTATATGGTTTGTTAGGAATAGAAAGGGTGGGTCACCTTGAAATGCTTGGGATTCTTGAGACACACTTGCTTGATAAGGAAAATTCTCTGGCTTGTCAAACAGCTATAGGAGTTGCTGATGCTTGTGCTAGCCAGATGGAGATTGACACAAAAAATGATAACCAGTTAACGTCAGAAAATGATATGAGGCATAACACACATATAAGGGCTGGGAAGAAGGGATCTGTAGCTGATCCTAATGGATATGCAGCAATTGATGTGCACAACATCAACTTGATATACCTGAAACGTAGTTTTGCTGAGAACCTTATTGATGAGAGTGACAAATTTCAAGAGAAGGTTGTTGGGTCAATAGTGCGGATAAAAATTACTGGCACTGATCCAAAGCAAGATATGCATAGGCTTGTTAGAGTAACAGGTAAATATCTATATAAATCAAAGGTCCTAATTGCTTTTCAAAGTTAAGAGAAATATTATAATTTGTACTCTTTAATATTTTGTACACTGGAAAACATTCATTGCTACAAAATTGTAACTTTTTGAGGGTTTTCTGTACAGGTACAGGCAAGGCAGCTGAACCATATGTAATTGGAGACAGAAAAACTGATTTAATGATTGAAGTTCATAACTTGCAAAGGAGTGATTTGCTCCCAATTGATGTGATTTCAAACGAGGAGTTCTCTGAGGTGTTATAACTTACCCCTTGTATAGATGTTTTTCTTTCCTATTTATTAAAAGGTTGATATTTCTGATTTTCCAAACATATTAGGTTCTCTAGATTTATTGAAAATAACATTTCCACCTTTTTGAGGTTTTTATTGAGTGAATGAGAAACAAAGTGGTTTTGAGCATCGTCCTGCTCTATCAAAGAATCAGGACATCACTGTTGAACTTTTTCAACCATTCATGGGAATATACTTCTAGACCTAAGAAGATAAATAGAGTGTTCACCTTTGGAAAATTAACTACACTGATCACGACATGGTGTCTATTGTATTAGTTTAGCAGTTGAGTGGACCGAATTAATGAACCTGAAAGTCAACATCACTAGTACTTATCTATTCTATATGTGGCTGTAGTTTTGGTTATTGGCGCAGACAGTTGTTGCACACAACTATTATAATTATCATATTCTATCATTCGGTTACATTTATTTGAATTTTAAATCAATTATTGTTCGGCCAATTTGGTTTTAATTATGGAAGCATTTACAGTGACAAATCATCCTAGATGTTTAATGTTTTGCTGAACTTGATTTTTTTTCAAGTTTTAGAAAGTCTTTGCTTACAGGCGCTCACTGCCTGACATTCATACACTTATACATATGTAGCTAGAGTATATATAAAGAGTGTATGTCTTTTATTCATGTAGGTTTTCTTTACCTGTTGGGAAACTTAATCTGTTTCGTGACACTTGAGGGTTTAGTGGAGAGCCATGAGGAGGATGGCATTACATAATAATATAGGCACGACATATGATAATGCATTGAAGACATTGAGATTCTCTAGGTTACCATGTGGAGTATTACATGCGTAATGTTTAACTTGAAATTTTCCCAAGTATATTTCAGTTTATTTGTGACATGAATTACATATATTGCATTAATATGATTTCTACTGCTATCATTTGCACAAATTTTTTGACTGTCCAGTGAGCTTTGTAATTTTTGTGGTATTGTTAGGTAGCTCACCATAGGAAAGGCACCCCTAGGTTTTTACCATTTATTAGTAAATGCTATCTGGCCTGATCTTATTCCCCTGGGGAGTGCAGTAAATTTCCTTATGTGTTGATGTTTTATTATGTTTCCCAGTATGAATGTAGATGTTTACGCGAGAGCATTAAATGCGGACTCATGAAACATTTTACAGTGGTAAGTCTGTGTATATCTTCATGTATGCTTTTTGAGCTTGGATATTTGCACTGCCATTTCTAAAGGATGTCTGCATTCTTATAGGGCGAGATTCTGGAGAGAGCATTGAAATTACAATCACAGAGAATTGATGATGTAAGTTTTTTTGCAGTTAATACCAATGCATATCTGTCGACTTATAATGCTAATGCATGGCTTAGCTAGTCGTATGAAATTATTTATTTTTGGTGCTTTTCAATATTGATGCAATTCTTTCTATTTTATATTTGTAAATATCATTTAATTTAAGATTTAAATTTCATGCTTTTTTTAATCATTTATTATTATTTTTTTTATTGTCTTGATTCTCCATTTTAGTTACTGGAATCACAGAAACTGCAGCTTATACATCTCCATGATCAAGCTAGTGAAAAGGGACGTAAAAAAGAATATCCTTTGTTACTAAATATTATTATGACCTTCTGTTTGAGCTTTTCCATGCTTGTGAATTTTTAATGCAACACAATGAATGCTCTCAGTGTCACTGTATTCCGGTCACCAAACAGGTAAATATCAGTGTGCAAATTTAAAAAGTTCAAATTTTTGGGCAAAATACTAAATTCCTCAAGTAATACTTNGCAGTTAATACCAATGCATATCTGTCGACTTATAATGCTAATGCATGGCTTAGCTAGTTGTATGAAATTATTTATTTTTGGTGCTTTTCAATATTGATGCAATTCTTTCTATTTTATATTTGTAAATATCATTTAATTTAAGATTTAAATTTCATACTTTTCTTAATCATTTATTATTATTTTTTTATTGTCTTGATTCTCCATTTTAGTTACTGGAAGCACAGAAACTGCAGGTTATACATCTCCGTGATCAAGCTAGTGAAAAGGGACGTAAAAAAGAATATCCTTTGTTACTAAATATTATTATGACCTTCTGTTTGAGCTTTTCCATGCTTGTGAATTTTTAATGCAACACAATGAATGCTCTCAACGTCACTGTATTCGGGTCACCAAACAGGTAAATATCAGTGTGCAAATTTAAAAAGTTCAAATTTTTGGGCAAAATACTAAATTCCTCAAGTAATACTTATTTACATAAAAGCCGTGGTATTTTTTTATTTATTTATTTATTTTTTGTCATGAAAACCTAGACATTAGAATCAGAAATCAAGTATCCAAATTTTCCAATTAATGTAGTTTAATTTAAAAAAATTTGCTTCCTATGTATTTGAAGCATAAAGCCATAAATTCTAACCTGGAGTGCTTCACATGGCACAGGTTTTGCTTAATTCAAAAGTTGATTAACAACAATTTCACCCATCTACCAAAGAGATTCTTTTGTAAAATCACAAATGACAAGATATGATAAAACTGTACTAAATTTTGCTGAATCAATCAAATTTGAAATTTTAAAATAATATTTAGAACTGAAGAAAATCTTTGAGAATTTTTTCCCGCTGTATAGAATAACAAAGTTACAATGTTTCTCAAAGTTACTGAATAACAACTCTTTTTAACCAAACACTAACCATATACAGTTCTTGGGAGCTCAAAGGGGGCGTATTGAGCAATACAATGTCTTCCCACCTCTTCAAAATTTGGAGAGTTGGCTTTCTTTCTTGTTCTATTTTTCTTTACCTCTTTGTCTGTTTTATGTTTCTTGTAATTGAAGCTAGTTTGTTGGATGTTATCTGTTACGCACCATGGGAACTTGGTGTAACATTATCTAGTATTCCTTAACAATGTTGCACGCTCAGAGAATGTGTGGAGAAGTTAGAGCTTTTGAACTCTCCTGATAATCACAAGCGCAGGCCTCTTGGAGTGGAAGTAGTACATATTGACCCACGAATGGATCCAAGTTATGAGTCTGAAGATGATGTTGGAGAATTTGATGAGAAGAAATCAGGTCCCTAGCATTGGCTTATTGATATGGAAGAATTTGTTTTAATTTATTTTCCTCTTTTTAGTTTTGATGATAGTTTTGCTGGTATATTTGCAGTTAACTGTGTAAGTCCAAGAGATCCTAAATCTGTTTCTGGGGTTGCCTCTGGAAAATTTCTACCATCAAATTGTGTGGGTATTGTGCAACCTGCTATTATTGAGACTGAGAAGACATGGTACTATGAGGACCCCAATGGAAAGAATCAGGGACCATTTTCCATTGCGCAGCTGCGTAAATGGAATACTAGTGGACATTTTCCTGTTAATTTGCGAGTATGGAGGACAGATAAAAAACAAGACGACTCCATGCTTCTGACTGATGCTTTGAATGGGGGATTTTATAAGACTGTTGAGAGTCGAAAGAATGTTGGAATTTGTTGTGATAAACAGGCCCTCAGTGAAGGCCGTGCTGATAAACAGGTCCTCTGTGAGGGCAATATGGGCCCATCTTCTGGAGAAAACTGTAGGCTTCCACACGATCATAGTGCTTCAAAGGCCTGGGATTCAAACTCTTCTTTTGTGGCTTTATTGAATTCTTGTGAAATGGCAGACCAGATACCTCCTGAGAAGTCCCAGCTCGTAAAGGAAAATGGGGGATGTGAAATGCGCCCAGATGGGGGTGAGAGCAAACCGGGGCAATCATTTGGAAAAAATTCAAGATCTCCACCTGTAGATATTACCATAAATGGCTGGGACAACAATGCTCTTGTCAATTTGGTGAAGTCTTTTGAGCTTATAGATCAGGATCAGGAGATGGACTTCTCTGATCTACCCAGCCCCACCCCCAATCGGAGCCATGTGCAGGTTGAAGATTCTGAGATGCAAAAGCCTAGGAGTACAGCATCTAGTCCGGTGGCTGGTGGACCACCGCTACCTGAAGTGGCTGGTGAAGGGAGTGGGCATTCCCCTTCTCCAGCAAAACCTGCGCTGGACAAGAGGGAGTCTGATGTCGTGGCAGCATCTATTGTAAAACAGACTGAAGTGCCCAGTGATCATGCTGCCACCCCAACTTCAGTGCCCAGTGATCATTCCTCTTCGTCCCACCCTGCATCCAATGCTGCTAGTTGGCAGCCAGTTGATGTTGCTGTTGCTGAACTTGAGGAATTCACTGCTTGGTCTGAAGAATCTGTTTCAGAGCTGTTGGCGGAAGTTGATGAAGCAATGCGGTCCTTTAATGGTGTAGCATCTCCTACTTCACCTCTGCACTGTGGTGTTGAAAATGATTGTTTCAGCCCTCTGAGGGGGTTAAGCTCAAGAGTTGATACAGGGAGAAGTGCTTCCTTGGGCTCCAGTAGTGATACACACACGATTTCTCAGTCACCTGTGAATGAGGAGCCACGTGGGGTATCTCAGGGGGATGTTCTTGATCGTCAAAAAAGTTCTGGTGGGCCTTCTTCCACAAGTAATGAGGTGGAAGTCCTAGAGGAAGTTACAAAGTCCAGTGATGATTCAGTTAATCAATGCAAAGCAGCTTCAAACTTACCACCGCCTTTACCTCCTGTGACAAGTTGGGAGATGGCCACCATAGACACCACTTGGAGGCCTGGAACAGAAACTACAAATATCAGTGAGGGAACGGTGCAGGGAAATGCAGACTTGGGATTTAGAGGATTGTTTCAAGGAATAATGAATGATGATTGGGTAAATGGTCAGTGGGGAAATTTAGGCATGTGGGGAAGCCAACCTAGGTATGGTGGCGACAGACTCTCTAGTCCTAGAGACTTTAATGTTGATGGCATGGATTCAAGTTTTGGTAGCGGCAGGCCAGTTTTTAATGGGCAGGCAATGTATGATGATGGGAATGGAGGAGGAAAGACAATTTTTGATGATGGGAATGGAGGAGGTTCTTTCGGACTTGCACCCAAAAGTCAGCAGGTTTGTAAATTTCATGAAACCGGGTTTTGCAAAGATGGGACATCTTGTAGGTACTTTCATTTATGATTTAGGATTCCACGGTCATTGTGTGGCATTTAGTTTTGAACTCGTAGCTCGTCTTAGGAAAGGTTCTAATGTTAATGCTCTAATTTAACCAGTACATCAGTTAGTGAAGCAGCAGAATACGGAAATCTATTTTGGGATAGTTTTAGGAGCTTAAAAGTAGCACACTCAATTGTCATGACTCATGATTGTAAAAAACGGCCTTGTACTAAATATTCAATTGCTAGTACCGATCCTCTCAATTCATTACGAATGGACAACATCCATTTTGAGGGGTTGTGTAATTTAAGCCAAACAGCCCCTTCCTTTTCCTTTCTGTTATCTCCTAATGACTCGGTTGAAATATATGTATATGTGTATTTATTTATTCAGTTTTTATCTGTTCCTCTTCCCTCTCACGAGAGCTGAAACTACCCTCTCTAAGTGGTGCTTAATGGCGACCACAATTTGTGATGGGTCGGGTACAATACAAGAGAAGCGGACCGATCATGGTTCTGGGTTCAAGTTTGGGAGATATAACAGTAATATACCAAAGATGTGTTATACTGCAACAGTATTTTAATCACAATTATTTTGAAAGTTGTGATAATATAATTTGAACATTAAATTGTGTATTTTGTTAGCATTATTCTCTTTTACAAGGATTTTATTATTTTGAATATTTGTTTTTACTTATAAATCTAGTGTTAATAATGAATGGAGTTGAAATTTGTTTTTGTTAGTGGGTCTGGTATGGAATTGTGTAGTTCTTAACCACAATGATTTAGATGAATGAAATCATAATCCTTTAAATTATTATATGCATTTAAGATTTCATTAATTAATCCCAAATTACAAATAATTTTATTTTAATTTATACGGATTAACTCCAACTAAACTAACTCGATTTAAATGGTATAAATTTCAAGGGCGGGCCAACCCTGGTTAAGTTGTGCGGCCATGTGACGATTTGCTCCATTGCGTCCTAGACTCCCAGTCAAGAATGCACAGGTAATGATCGGGTCAGTCATGGTGGGATTAATTTTTTGGTGATTATTATTATTGACAATGTTATATATAAAAACTTTTTTTTTTTAATATAAATTGAAGTGTTAATTAATTCAATAAATACTTAATTGATATAGTTGAACGATTTGTGTATTCGTCACGTCAATTTATATTCTTAGTTTATAATAATAATAATAATATTCTTAATTTGACAATTGGCTTAAACGGACTTTCATTTTCGAAAGTACAAATTACTGAATCTTCCAGGGTAGAACGTTTCAAATTTTGAAGGAGTGAAGGACTACACTGCTGTCCGGTATAAATTATAAAATATAAAAAACAATTTTTTGGCAACAGACCTCTTAATAAATCACAACAAACAAAATACTTTGATTAACTCCCTCCTTTTAATTAATCAAGTATTTGCTGATGGCAACGACGTCATTTCTGTCTCCGACGCAGCGGTATGCAGCCGGTGCACTATTCGCAATTGCTCTTCACCAGGCTCAGATCCACCAGACTCGCCCGTTGGGCGTGCCCACAGAAGAAGACTCATCTGAGGACCGAACCAGTTGTAGTAGTAGCAGTGACTCCGTCTCCGAGGACCCTGAACTTTGGGTCCATGAAAATTCGGGTCTGCTCCGCCCTGTTTTCAGGTGATTTCGATTCTTTTTGTTTGGACTTTGATTCATTGTAATTGATAATCTCTTTAAAAATCATGAAGGATAATGGAGTTGTAATTCATACACTATTTTGTTCTATTCATTTTTCTGCGAATTTATTCGAATTTAGCCAACTTCTGGGAGCTCATATTGTGCGAATTCTGCATTGACTCAGCTGCCTTTTGAAAAATTGATAGTATCATTGATTAATTGATTTTAAAATTGACAATGTACTGGTTGATGATCCTTGTTTCAGTTAGTACCTAAATGTTCATTTAGTCACTGATAGAAGTTTAGGGAAATAAATTAATATGAGGTTTTCGTGAAGTCTGCTTATTCACCGCGCTTCTTCATATAAATTTGGCCTCTGTTTTAATTATGTGCGTGATCTACAGGTTTGTGCATAAGAAGTATTGATTGGCAATTCATATTTGGCATTTAGATTGTAACTTCTTCTGGTCTAATGATATAGAGCTTATAGCAGAAGGTTCAATTGTGAATTGTGATTGGTGATGGCAAAGAATATGTCCAACTATCTTTAGTCTTCGTATAAATGTTAGTTTAGAAGTATTTTCTTCTATTTTCAAGTTTGTTGTTAACCTTGTTTTGAACAGTTTTCTGCAGATTGATTCAGCAGCATGGCTTGGACTTGAGGAAACAGCTGGATCTTCTCCTGTTCAGAATCATGTTGGAGCTGTATGTTGTTTTGTCTCACGTATAATTCTGTTTCACAGAAAGCTATCAAGGCTTTTTTTCGTTTTTAACTGGGTCATGGTGCTTGTTATGTAATTTAGGTTGTTATTATATCCAGTTTAATGGTTTATAAAGAGAACTGTACATTTAAAATAAGTTTGTTGAATAAATAGTGACCGAACTGCTTATATGTACTTTTAATAGAAATAAAGAACTGAACATAGCATTTGCTCTCAATTAGTGAAAGGTTTACATTATAGCTTCAAGGAATCAGATAGTGTTTCATGTAATTTACTGCTTTTTAGTGTTTTCTTTTCTCTCCCTATCCCATCATCTTTCTCTAAGATTCTTTAATGCCCATGCTTAAAATTTTATCTGGGTTCCGTCTTGATTACTACTATGAATGTAAATCTTGTCACAGTTTTTGAGGTTGCTCTCAGTAGAAAGTGATGATAGTTCTTCCCAGAGTTCAGATCAGGAATTAGCCTTGGCAAAAGCGATTGATGTTACAGCACGCAGCCTAGAGACAAATTCTGAATCTTTTAAGTCCAAGAAAGAGAAACATCAAGAATATGAAGTTGAATGTCGTGAGAAATGTTCCACTGCTGAAACGCAGTCACTCTCTGAATCAGTAAATAGGCACATGACCACTCAGCAGGATTCAGAGAGTAATATGTCCGAAGGTGCTCCTTTTGGTTCTGGCAGTAATGTTGATGATGAGAGACCCATTGAAGAGGAAACAAACCTCGGTTATCAGAGGAAAGTTACAGTTCTTTATGAACTTCTATCAGCTTGTCTAGCAGATGCACCTGAAGATAGCAAAAAAATTAACCAGCGAAGAAAGGGTTATGATGCTCGACATCGTGTGGCTCTTCGATTGCTGGCAACGTGGCTTAATATCAATTGGATAAAAATGGTATGTACACTAATCATCCTTATCAGCTGCCTTGAAAGTTTTACACCAGCTGTGTATCAAATTCCCCCAGTATTGCTACCAACAATATTGATAGCATGACTTTTGTTCATTGCAGTACTCATATTCATAGATTTTTATGTCAGCTGTCCATATGTATGTTTAATAAAAAAGGGTTTCTTCACTCTTAAACATGTAGAAAGATATTATCCTACACTTTGTGCGAATCCCTCTCAGCTGCATGCCCTTCTTTATCTAGTTGTTTGATCTCTCTGGAAGGAATGCACACTTTCCAGGTCCAGTTTTTCCTCTGCATGGGTGCTTAAGGATGTGTATTGATTTTAAACTGAAATATTATGTTTTATCTATTCTTCTTATTAATGGAACTTCTATACTCTAGGAAGCCATAGAGATGATGGTCGCTTGCTCTGCAATGGCTTTAAGAAAAGCAGAAGAATCAAAGGAAGAAGCCAATTCACCCAAAAGCAAATGGGCTAAATGGAAGCGTGGTGGTATTATTGGTGCAGCTGCATTAACTGGAGGAACCTTGATGGCAATAACTGGCGGTATTTAAACATCTGTAAATTTCGAAAGTATTGTAATTTCTACATCAAAAAAATTTCTCATAGCTTTGACAGTGTGGACTTTTCACTTCACATTTCATTGTTAAACAGGATTAGCTGCTCCAGCGATTGCTGCTGGATTTGGTGCTCTAGCTCCAACATTGGGCACTCTCATCCCTGTTATTGGAGCAAGTGGGTTTGCTGCAGTTGCTAGTGCTGCTGGAACTGTTGCTGGTTCTGTTGCCGTTGCTGCATCATTTGGAGGTGAGTGATTAATTACATTCCTTAAGAGCATCTTCTAGAATCTGCTCACCCACCTTATCATTTCTTTTTTCTCTACAAGGACAAACAAATATGTTTCACATTCATTATGTATTTATATGTGTCAGTTGTCATTGTGGTGTTGAAAACATATGTTTTAAATTTTACACATGTTCAAATTGTGTTTGGCTTGTTACATGGTGTATTACACACAGCACTGCATCTTTTCTTATTGACAAACACGGATTCAATTCCTCCTCCAGAGTTGGTATGAGGATTATATCCCTTGACTTCTTGCTCCTGTGAGAAATATAGTCAACTAGGTTAACCCAGGGACGTATGCTTCTTAGTTATGGACAAGTTAAAGACATGCTCAATTTTCTTTCCAATTGTGCTCTTAAGGGTTTTTGGTGTTACCTATTTAATGGCTAGTGCATGTTAAATGATAATTCTTTGCTTTATATGGTTACATATAATAAATTCTTTTATTGATTTGATTGATAATATCATTATTTTTTGGACAGAAGTTTTTCATTTCATCTTTTATACATTTGATTGGTTTTTGAGGAGAGAATACAAATCTATTGTCATAATTAACCATAATTTTGATCAAGATCAAGGTCATGCACATGTGTACTTCCTTCTATGTCCTAAAAAATGGTGTGGGCAATGTTTTCTTTCTTTTTATAACGAATTTTTTTTAATTCCGCATTTGTCTCTGCTTGAAAAAGGAGTTATTTCTGATGAAAAACTTATTTGCTTATTGTTCTGCACATTGCCACCAGCTGCTGGAGCTGGACTTACGGGGAGTAAAATGGCTAGGAGAACTGGAAGCGTTGATGAATTCGAATTCAAACCTATCGGAGAAAGTAATAATCAAGGCGTGAGTTTCTGCATCTTCCTTTTTGGGGGATAATCTATTAATTGTATTTATTTTTAGGTTTTTTTCATTTTGTGATTTCTCTCTCTTCACCCTACTTTCCTTTCAGCAATGGTATTTGTATATATTTAATTGATTATTCTGGACTTTAGTTGTAATTCAACTTCTCTGTCAGCGGCTAGCAGTTGAAATCTTCATCTCTGGATTAGTTTTTAATGAGGAAGATTTTATAAGGCCTTGGGAAGGAAAAGATGACAATATGGAGAGGTATAGACTCTATACCACATTCCACTTACTGGAAATTTCTACTCCAGTTTTCTTTTTCCATCTTAATTATACCAGAAATAAGCTGATTCTTTCACATATTAAGCATTTAGTTATGGCGACTGTGTTCTGGCATATTGTTTCTTACATTTGCTTGATTGGATTTGTTGATTTTCTGTCTGGATTATGTTATCATTTGAAGAGAGTAAAGCATCCAGTTGCACAAGATAGTTCATTGTCCACTAATTAAATGAAAGTTTCTACCTGTACTTGGATAAGAGAATCTATTTCCTTTGTTTTCATTAATATTTTTTTTAATATATATATATATATATTTGTGAAAGAAAGATTTATACTGCTTGGACAGACCCAAAAGTACAACCAAAATCCACTCACAGCCCCTAACCACTTAAGATATATAAGGCCATAGACGAGTCTTCAAAGTCTTGAGACACAAGCCCTAAAAGATGACAGTAACTTGATCTTGTCTCATTAAACCCTGATTTCTTTTCCTCTATTGGCTTAAAAAATCCTTTTATTTGGTTCACCTTAGATCACCCACAGAAGAGGACAAACCACTCTTTTGGAGAGTCTTAGCCTTTTTTCCTTTTCTAAAGAAAGTAAAATTCTCTATAAGTTAATCAAAACAGGATCTAGGTGTAACCATTGAAGTTGATCTCTATACAAACTTTAGCCCATAACGAAGAAGCCTTGGGGATAATGAAGGAACAAATGGTCGAAGGATTTCGTGTCATTTTTGCACATAACGCCAGTGGGTGGATAGGTACATTTGATGGTACCTTAATTGGACAATGTTTGCTGTATTGAGTTTTCCTTGAAAACAAGTGGGATGAACTTTTTGCCTGCAAAACTGAATCGAACTTTTTGAAATCAAGTGGAGGATTTTCTTTACATGACATCTTAGAATAGGATTTGCAAGTAAATAACCTGAAGAGTCAAGCTTCCATTTTCTTTTGTCTCCTCTGGACTCATTAATGGAACATTATCAAATTCCTTTGGAAGTTTAGATTCTAGCTTTCATGTGGGGAACAAGAGTCAAGAGGCATAATCAGTGACACTCTTCTATTAAGGGTCACTCTATAAAGACGAGGGCAGCATTGGTTCAAGCTAAAATTGCCTAGCCATTTATCCTCACAAAAACAACTGTCCTTGCCATTTCCGACCTTTAAAATGATGAAAAAGTTGAATGTTGAATATTTCTTAGAAATGGGTTAGGTTTAATTATCATTTAATGCAAAGTATTATGGCTCAAGAAACAGTACAATGTTGAATCTGGGTAACATTCTTTATGGTAAGCATGATGTTGAAGTTGCATGGATTGATAAATTTCTTAACATTTTGAATCTGCCTTTCTTGTATTTCCATTTTGTCTATTCTAATTGACGTGTTTGATAGTTCTTTCATTTCAAAATATATGCTTACGGTTTTTGAAACTCAGAAATGGATTTGAGAAAGTGCATATCTACTGACCCCAATAAATTTTTAGGTATGCACTGCAGTGGGAGTCCAAAAATCTCATTGCAGTGAGCACTGCAATTCAGGATTGGCTTACTTCAAGTAATTGCTTGGAACTTCATTTTGCTATTATGTCTCGTCATTATTGCAATTGTGAACAATTATCCTATGATTTCAAAATTGCTTCTACTGCTGTAGGCATAGCTATGGGGTTAATGAAGCAAGGCGCAATGTTGACTGTATTAAACTCACTTTTAGTAGCATTGGCTTGGCCAGCAACTTTAGTTTTAGCTGCTGATCTTATAGATAGCAAATGGACAATTGCTGTGAACAGGTAAGCTCTTGTCTTGACTGTAAGCTGAATAATTAGTTGGGAAGAAGAAGAAAATTGTTTATCCTTCCATCTCTTTAAATTGCAATTTTGCAGTGTTATGGTTTCATTGGTTGTATTCACATTTTCTATAGGTAGCCAGTCACAAATATACTGATAAATCTGGTTTTCTGACTTACTGTTGTAGAAACGTATAAGAATTCAGGAGTTGATAAAAAATTTATTATAGGAAGTAGTGAAGAATTATAAGCAGTTGAGAATAGCTTTGCATATTTAGATAATAAATATTTTGATGTAATGCTGAATTTTACAGAACAATTTGCAACAAATCATGAATAATAACACCATCATATTTAAGCTTTGAACTTTTTTCATTTTCTTATGGAATAAAAACTAATGAAAATACAGGGATTGCTTTCACTTTCAAGGATAAAGTTTTGGAGAATGCCATTGTTATATAACTTCATATTCTAGGATGTAACTTCCATTTATCAGGCTGCCTAAACATTTTAACTGTGAATACTGGATGGACTTTGGCTGATGTGGGTTTCAAGCTACTGAGGAAACTTAGTACTGGATTGGTTGAAACTAGTTTTTTCATGTAGTGTTGCTTGTAAGCAGTCAACTAGATCTTTTTTTTCTGCTATTTTCTAGGTCAGACAAAGCAGGGAGGCTGCTAGCTGAGGTGTTACTGAAAGGACTGCAAGGGAACAGGTATGCTAACCTAAAGATATTGATATTTCAGATGAGGGCCTTGAAATTTCTATTGACTTGATTTCTTTGTCTTTTGACTACTGTTCCAGGCCTGTGACCCTTATAGGTTACTCACTTGGAGCTCGTGTAATATTTAAGTGTCTTGAATATTTGGCCGAGACTGAACGCAATGGTAAAGAATAGTACTAATTGGATTTCATGAGAGATGGATTTGGTAGAATGATCCTGATGCATTTGCTCTTAATGTTGGCCAGCTGGAATTGTAGAACGAGTTGTTCTTCTTGGAGCACCCATCTCAATTAAAGATCAGAACTGGGAAGCTGTAAGAAAGGTGATTGCAGTTTTTGTAATAAAAATATATTCAAAGCAATTTTTTTTTTTCTAGAGATATAGTATTACACCATGTGTACATTATTTCTAGGTTGTTCTCTGTTAATTCCTACTGTTATGCAGATGGTGGCCGGAAGATTTGTTAATGCTTATTCCACAAATGATTGGATGCTTGGACTTTCTTTCCGAGCAAGGTATGCATGATGAACAATGCACTGGGAGAAAATGTGAGGTTAATAAATNGTAACCATTGAAGTTGATCTCTATACAAACTTTAGCCCATAACGAAGAAGCCTTGGGGATAATGAAGGAACAAATGGTCGAAGGATTTCGCATCATTTTTGCACATAATGCCAGTGGGTGGATAGGTACATTTGATGGTACCTTAATTGGACAATGTATGCTGTATTGAGTTTTCCTTGAAAACAAGTGGGATGAACTTTTTGCCTGCAAAACTGAATCGAACTTTTTGAAATCAAGTGGAGGATTTTCTTTACATGACATCTTAGAATAGGATTTGCAAGTAAATAACCTGAAGAGTCAAGCTTCCATTTTCTTTTGTCTCCTCTGGACTCATTAATGGAACATTATCAAATTCCTTTGGAAGTTTAGTTTCTAGCTTTCATGTGGGGAACAAGAGCCAAGAGGCATAATCAGTGACACTCTTCTATTAAGGGTCACTCTATAAAGACGAGGGCAGCATTGGTTCAAGCTAAAATTGCCTAGCCATTTATCCTCACAAAAACAACTGTCCTTGCCATTTCCGACCTTTAAAATGATGAAAAAGTTGAATATTGAATATTTCTTAGAAATGGGTTAGGTTTAATTATCATTTAATGCAAAGTATTATGGCTCAAGAAACAGTACAATGTTGAATCTGGGTAACATTCTTTATGGTAAGCATGATGTTGAAGTTGCATGGATTGATAAATTTCTTAACATTTTGAATCTGCCTTTCTTGTATTTCCATTTTGTCTATTCTAATTGACGTGTTTGACAGTTCTTTCATTTCAAAATATATGCTTACGGTTTTTGAAACTCAGAAATGGATTTGAGAAAGTGCATATCTACTGACCCCAATAAATTTTTAGGTATGCACTGCAGTGGGAGTCCAAAAATCTCATTGCAGTGAGCACTGCAATTCAGGATTGGCTTACTTCAAGTAATTGCTTGGAACTTCATTTTGCTATTATGTCTCGTCATTATTGCAATTGTGAACAATTATCCTATGATTTCAAAATTGCTTCTACTGCTGTAGGCATCGCTATGGGGTTAATGAAGCAAGGCGCAATGTTGACTGTATTAAACTCACTTTTAGTAGCATTGGCTTGGCCAGCAACTTTAGTTTTAGCTGCTGATCTTATAGATAGCAAATGGACAATTGCTGTGAACAGGTAAGCTCTTGTCTTGACTGTAAGCTGAATAATTAGTTGGGAAGAAGAAGAAAATTGTTTATCCTTCCATCTCTTTAAATTGCAATTTTGCAGTGTTATGGTTTCATTGGTTGTATTCACATTTTCTATAGGTAGCCAGTCACAAATATACTGATAAATCTGGTTTTCTGACTTACTGTTGTAGAAATGTATAAGAATTCAGGAGTTGATAAAAAATTTATTATAGGAAGTAATGAAGAATTATAAGCAGTTGAGAATAACTTTGCATATTTAGATAATAAATATTTTGATGTAATGCTGAATTTTACGGAACAATTTGCAACAAATCATGAATTATAACACCATCATATTTAAGCTTTGAACTTTTTTCATTTTCTTATGGAATAAAAACTAATGAAAATACAGGGATTGCTTTCACTTTCAAGGATAAAGTTTTGGAGAATGCCATTGTTATATAACTTCATATTCTAGGATGTAACTTCCATTTATCAGGCTGCCTAAACATTTTAACTGTGAATACTGGATGGACTTTGGCTGATGTGGGTTTCAAGCTACTGAGGAAACTTAGTACTGGATTGGTTGTAACTAGTTTTTTCATGTAGTGTTGCTTGTAAGCAGTCAACTAGATCTTTTTTTTCTGCTATTTTCTAGGTCAGACAAAGCAGGGAGGCTGCTAGCTGAGGTGTTACTGAAAGGACTGCAAGGGAACAGGTATGCTAACCTAAAGATATTGATATTTCAGATGAGGGCCTTGAAATTTCTATTGACTTGATTTCTTTGTCTTTTGACTACTGTTCCAGGCCTGTGACCCTTATAGGTTACTCACTTGGAGCTCGTGTAATATTTAAGTGTCTTGAATATTTGGCCGAGACTGAACGCAATGGTAAAGAATAGTACTAATTGGATTTCATGAGAGATGGATTTGGTAGAATGAACCTGATGCATTTGCTCTTAATGTTGGCCAGCTGGAATTGTAGAACGAGTTGTTCTTCTTGGAGCACCCATCTCAATTAAAGATCAGAACTGGGAAGCTGTAAGAAAGGTGATTGCAGTTTTTGTAATAAACATATATTCAAAGCAATTTTTTTTTTTTCATAGAGATATAGTATTACACCATGTACATTATTTCTAGGTTGTTCTCTGTTAATTCCTACTGTTATGCAGATGGTGGCCGGAAGATTTGTTAATGCTTATTCCACAAATGATTGGATGCTTGGACTTTCTTTCCGAGCAAGGTATGCATGATGAACAATGCACTGGGAGAAAATGTGAGGTTAATAAACGGTTGGACTTCTGGATCAATGATTGGGGGGTGGGGGTGTCGGTGGTGGCAATCTAGATAGCAGTGTGATTAGTCTTTTGTATGTTTATTTTATTGCTATTTTCCCGGAGGTTCCTATTCATATCCTAGAAAAATGATTGGGTGTTTTTAAAATCAAAACAACTTTCGTAATTGAGTCTGGTAAAAGGATCTTTGATCTCCAATTTTCAATTCTTATCAGTAGTAGATTGAAGCTTTGTTTCCTCGGAAAGTAACAATTGGTTAATTTATTAGAGGAAAGAAAATGTATAATTGTCAAGTGATATACTTCCACAGAAACTAACAAATTGTTTTAAACAGTCTATTTTCACAAGGATTAGCTGGAATTCAAGCCATTGATGTTCCTGGGATTGAGAATGTAAGTTGTTTCTGCTTTCTCTCAACTTTTTCCTCCCTTGAATTTGTTTATTCAGATTGTTTCTGATCTATATGTGCCTATGTTTTAGCTATTCTAACTAATATGGTTCAACTCTGCAGGTTGATGTAACCCATCTCATTGAAGGCCACTCTTCCTATCTATGGGCAACGCAGCAGATACTGGATCGTCTTGAACTAGATACTTATTATCCTGTTTTCAGAAGCGATCTAGACAACAAGTAGGAGTTTCCCAACATACAGTTTCTGCTTCTACCATTACTGCCTCTTCTTGGATGAGTTTCGCAACTCGAAGCTCATTGTAAATTATGATAAATAAAATATAAGGTCTGATACAACATTGAAATCATTGAAAGAATGATATTCAAGTTTCTGTATCATGAGAGTGAGTTAACCCTATTCATAGAGATTAGAGATGTTTGATTCTTAGGTGAAAGACCACAGTAAACATTACATGTAAACTTTCTTCATTCTAAATTTGTGTGGATTAATCTTATAAAGAAGTAAATAATAAAAGAATGGATGAGATGGTCGCTTATCCAACTTCACTAAGATATTAGTAGTGAACTATTAAATCAAACCTGTGGGGGGTTTTCTGTCACATGTATTAAATTTTAATTTTATTAAGCCGTCAACCATTGTGAATGGCTCCTAAGTGAATGAATCAAGCATGAAGCAACCGTCTTGCGGTTACAAATAATTAAAAAGAGAAACGACGTCGAAGCGAGTCATATCATAGCATTTGGATTTGATTTGGAGAGGGGTCTTCTGGAGGGGAGTCCTGTGCATGTGCTGACACAGAATCAGAGATAGAGATAGAAACAGACAGAGAAGCGATCAAGCAAATCGGAGTATGGACACGACTAAAGAAGAAGAGAAAGTAGACGATGATCAGCGGCAACAACAACAACAAAAAACTGTTGTTAAAAAAATTCCAAAGGCAAAATCTTGTAAGGGATATCTCTATTACAATTCCGTTCTCAAATCCCATCATCGCAACCCTCGTTGCATCGGCATCCCTCGTACTCTCCCTCAAGGTTACGAATTTCTTTTTCATGTTTCAACTTCCATTCTCCTTGCTTTCTTTTAACGTTTTCCAATTTGCTGCTTATGTTTAATGTTTACTTCAAACTTTCTTGATCATAGTTTAGGGTTTTTAAGTTTGATTCTTTTTCATTTATTGAGGAATGTCAACCTTCGAATTAATCAAGTGGTAGATAAATAATTATATGATGCTCAAAATTTAATATCTTGGCATTCTATTCATGATTTAGTATTTTTTGTTTATCTCGTAATACATTCTCATTAAGTTTTATTTGCCAGTACCCGACTTTGTTGTCCGACACTCTGAGCTTAAAGCATCGAAGGATGGGCGGACCCTTATACAGTTTTATTATGCTTGTCTTGGTTACTCTGTATATAACAATGTAAATAGTGTTTCAACCGATAAGCTAACAAATGTGAATGACGTTTCAACTGATAAGCAAGTGACAAGACAACTACCTCTGTGCACCGGCCTGGAGGTTAAGCTCTCTCTTTCTGATTTGATTGTATTGTGTTAGGCTGTTTATGTTTCTAACTCTATTTTTTTCACCAACATATACTCTCTGACTTACATGAGTTGCTGCAGCTACTACTGCATAAACCTCCTGCTCCTACTAATCCTGTTCCTGCTCCTGCTCATAATAGAGAAGGTTAGGAAATTATCTTGATTTACATTTTTTTTTATTTGTTATCTGTGATTTCTTTTTTTCTACTTAATTTGTTATCTGTGATTTCTTTTTTTTCTACTTGTTCGATTCAGTGTAGTGTAGCTCTTGTTGCTCTCACGACCTGATCGCTTTTAGTGATGCCTGTGTATGTTGTGATTTTAGTGTTGTATTTCCGCTACAGTAAAGACTTTCGATCTAATTTTTTGTTCGCTTTAAAACTATAATTAGGATAGAACAAAAATTTATTGATTTGGAATTGTGGAATACCAGACCTCGGCAAAGGAAAGAAAATATTTTCATTAGGGGAGAAAAGTCAGATGAACAATCTACTTAGAAATATACTTCTGTGGTATGCCAATTAAAATAAAAGCAAATGATTCAATGTGATTATTCCACTCAATGCCAAATTCAATGTGAACTTCATTGGATTGACCTACCATTTTATAATGCCTTTCTGCTTTTTGTAACCTTACCCTAACCTCCTTATTTGGAGAAGGCCATCACTTGGCCATGCAGACTGGGGTTTGAACTTTTGAATGTAGTTATTGGTTTAAACTAGAGAAAATTGTAAGACAGCTAAGCCCAAGATACGTGGTGACTATATATGTTTGTTGCTTAGTGTCACGACCAGACTATTTCCCTTCGGACTCATGCTGCCTTAGGTGCCAATCTCTCGATGATTGCCCTAAGTCAGCGTTGCTCGCCCACGTTTCTAGCCTTGCAAATAAGAGAACACTCACAAGAGATGATAGAGGAGAACTCTTTAATAATGAGAGAGCTTTACAATTCTTTGATGTTTTGGCCAAATGAAGGCCTCCCCCTTTTATAGTAGTTGGGAAACCGGAGATGCATTGTGGCAATTCAAAGACGAGGTCCAAGAATTCCACGATGAGTCGACGAGGTCCAAGAATTCCACGAAGAGTTGACGAGGATGTCTACAGATTAGGTGGGGGAGAATGTGACGCCTCTTAAGCATTTCATCAAACACTTGATGTGTGTCACCCTGACACTGTAGGACCTTCTAGAATACTCTTGTATTTGTTAAAATCTTGTAATTAATACGGTAGTTGGTAGATAGTAGTTGGTAGGTGGTAGTTTGGAGTTAGCTAATCTCCACTGTTGATTGTGGAAGATCTAAACTGTCCATTGTAAGCTCTATCTACTATAAAATGGGGAGACCTTCATTTGGTCAAACCATCCAAGAATTGTAAAGCTTTCTCTCATTAGTAAAGAGTTAAACGGTGGAGATTAGCTAACTCCAAGCTACCACCTACCAAGTACTATCTACCAACTATCGTATTAATTACAAGATTCTAGCAAATACAAGAGTATTCTAGAAGGTTCTAGAGTGTTAGGATGATGCACACCAAGTGTTTGATGAAATGCTTGAGAGGCATCACATTCTCCCCCACCTAATCTGGAGACGTCCTCGTCGACTATTTGTGGAATTTTTGGACTTTGTCTTTGAATTGCCACAATGCATCTTCGGGTTCCCAACTAGCTTCACTCTTCGGTAGTCCCTTCCATTTAACAAAGTATTCTCGACTTGGAGGATGACCCTTTCGTCGAATCACACGATCGGCTAACACACACTCCACCTCTTTGTCATAGAACTTGGTGTTGTCAAATGGTGTTCTTTTTGATTCTCCTCTTCTCGGATCTTCCGTATCTTTATGGTACGACTTCAAACAACTCACATGGAAGACCGGATGAAGTCTCAACCAAGAATTTTCTAGCCCTGATACCAAATGTCACGACCCGACTATTTCCCTTTGGACTCGTGCGACCTTAGGTGCCAATCTCCCGATGATTGCCCTAAGTTAGCTTTGCTCGCCCACACTTCTAGCCCTGCAAATAAGAGAACACTCACACAAACTTACTCACAAGAGATGCTAGAAGAGAACTCTTTACTAATGAGAGAAAACTTTATAATTCTTGGATGGTTTGGCCAAATGAAGGCCTCCCCTTTTTATAGTAGATGGAACTTACAATGGACGGTTTAGATCTTCCACAATTAACGGTGGAGATTAGTTAACTTCAAACTACCACCTACCAATTACTATCTGCCAAATACTATCTATCAATTACCGTATTAATTACAAAATTCTAACAAATACAAGAGCATTCTAGAAGGTTTTAGACTATCGGGGTGACGCACACCAAGTGTTTGATGAAATGCTTGAGAGGCGTCACATTAGGCACCTGAAAAATCTCCATTCCATTTTATTTTTTGATTTTCTAAAACCTTTATTTCTTCTCCGCGTGTGTCTGTCATGAATATGTGGGTGGGTGAGGTCATGTGGGTACACATGACTACGTGTATGTTTGTAGATGCACAATTATGGATTGTCTATTTGGTATAGGTAGTCTCAATAACTAGCGGTTGCTGCCTGCAAATGGCCTAGTTTATAGTAGCGGCTGAAGGTGCTTAGTCTATAGTAAGCCCACATGCTTCTTAATGCCTTTCATATAGTGTAGCTAACATGCATGGACCACATATTTTTCTGAAGACGTTAGTGTGTGTGTGTGTATATATATATAAACTAAAACCTCAGTAGAATGAGGATAACTATATTATTAAAGGGAAAGAGGATTATATCAAGACAGAAAAGATTTGCAAGGAGAAAGATTTGAACATGGGACTCTCCAGGATTTATGAAGGAGCTTTTGATGAACATCTGAAGATGGTGGTATATATGGTTGCTGCCTCTTTTGTTTTTTGATGTTATTGTTTTCTTGGTCAAGTTTTGCTTATATTTTTCGTGTCCAAATAGCTACTTGAATCATCAGTCTAGTACTTTGCTATAGGAAAGCAGAGGAAATGTTTATAAGAGAGCACTTGTTGTAATCTACTTCATTCTTGGGATTTGTTTTGTTGAAGATATCCATGAACTCCCTCAGTCTCGAGTGCATAATAAACCAGCTCATCAACCAGCTCATCGATCAAGAGAGAACTTCCTGGACAGGCAAGCAAATTATTTGAAAAATTAATAATTTTAACCCAACGTTTTAAGTTTCTGGAATTTGTATTTATGGACTAATTACATGAAGTCTATATTTCCGGTTTCGTGCTACACTGCAGGTTCAAAAGGAATGCAAACCTGGTTGCATCGGGAGTGGCAAAAAACATGCGTAGAGTGGGGAACTACTTAAAAGAGAGTGTAGAGGATATTATTTACCCGTATCGGAAGCGACCTAAATAATGTTGCCATCTTGTATGCAAGAAGTAGTGCATACAAATTGGCAAAGAAGCAGGGATTAGCATCATCTTATATTTCTGTTTGTTCGATATTTGGTTCACGTATTTTCTCCTCTTGGCATCCATTGCCTCTGCTTCCTTCTTTTTGCGGAATAAATAATTATGCAAACGCTAGAGAAAATAGTTGATTTGGCTCTTTGTATGCTAGCATATGATGTTTACTTGTGTCTATGGTTTGATGTAATTGACCTACGGAGGAAGAGGTGACAACTAACAAAGGTCTCATTTGTATAAGCATATTAATTACCGTTCGCTGTCAAAATTATCGCTTTACTTGATAGTGTTATCTTATCTCTACCCTGATTCCTCATAATTTACTGTTAGTTTTGAGAATTTCTGACTGAATACAGATAAGATGAAGATAATACTTTCAAGAGGATTGGGATATGGTTATGGTCCGTGCTTTCATATAGCAATATACACTAAATGTGAAATGGGAGTAAACGACATCAAATCAAACAAGTCCTTAAATCTCAAGAAAAGAAATAAGTCATGGTATGTAAGACCAAATCTAAATAATAGTAGTTGCAAAGCTTATGAAAACAAGTTGTACCTTAGATTCCCGAGGCTTATTCTTGTAACATTTTACAAGTATTGTAATCTTATTTTTTAATGATTAAGGGTGTTTCAATCAGTTTATGTTTATCTGAAATAGTCTGTGGTACATCTCGAGGCATTACATTATTTAGTATATCATTATTTTATCACGGAGCTTTTTAACTGTATTAATTGGTTGATTGTTAGTTAATTTAGTTTTTGGCCGCTGAGTAAAGTTGAGGCACGTTGCTCACGTCGCAAACGAACTTGCTCCCATTATCTATCTAATTGAATTGAATTGAGCGTCAAATTTTGCAAAAAAAGAAGCAACCGCGAAAGTCGAAACCGCTACCTCAGCACCAACAACAACAATCTACTATTCCATTCAATTATCCTTCAAAATTCCAAATCGCTTGCTTCCATTGTTGTCCGTCTCTGAGGTATGATTGTTTCTAAAAATCCTTTAGAATAATCAGATCCTTCGATTAATTCTATATGCAATTTATGCCATCATTAACTCCGTGTCTAAATAATTATTCATTTTTTTTTCTGTTTAGATTATTTTTTAGCCGGATTTGTGATTGCTGTATTCTAGGGCTTTTAATTATCCGTTAAATTCGATATTCATTGCCGAATCGAATGGCCGCTGCTGCGGCTTGTAAGCGTGTGGGACAAATTGGAACCAATTCAGGTATTAATGTGACCAGATTCAGAGGATTTGGTGCTTCTGATAGGGCTCTACTCTCCACTTCCTCCTCTATACAGTTATCGGCTTCATTGCATCGGAAGTTCGATTGTAGGCAGATTTCTCAGCTGGTGCCATCTAATGGAAGCCGGTTGTTTCTCGTTGACACATTGGCACTGGTAACTAAATTTATTTGAATTGGCTTGTTGCCTTTTATTAGCTGTTTGCTTGTGTTAATGGTATGTTGTTTGTAGGTTAGGAGATTGGAGGGGCAAGGCGTGCCTTCCAAACAAGCAGAGGCGATAACAGCTGCCATAATCGAGGTTTTGAATGACAGCTTGGAAAATGTGTCTCAATCAGTTGTTTCAAAGGCAGAGATGCAGAAAGTAAGCTTTATTTGCATTATTGGATTTTATTAATGCAAGATTGGTTTTGATGAACAATTGAAATTTGTGATAGAATAGCTTGTCATTTTAGAATTATGAGTTTTTTTTTTTTTAAGTGTAACTTTCTAACTGGGTGTCTGGTTTTGTTGGATGGTAGAGTGTAATGGTTCAGGAATCCAATTTGTCACAATTCAAATCCCAAGTTCAAAGTTCACAGGTATTGACTGGTTCACTTTGTATGATTTATATGGACAACTGTTTGGCCAGTAGGTCTTAGTGTGATTGTCATTACATTTTTCACCTTTTTGTACAGCTAATTGTTATCATGGTTCAATGGAATATCTTTTGTTTTGTTTTTGGATAAATAGTTCTTGCAATTTTGTTGATGATGCTACCATGTTTGTGATGATTAAGAACTATTTAACCAATATTGTGGTCACTTGACTTCATTGCATTAGAGTTTATAAGTTAATATTGTTTTTCTTGTGATTTTATGTGTTCCCCTAAATAACTTTTTTTGATGCAAGTTCCTGTTGCTTTTGGGGTTCATTCTGCATATTTTAAGATTTATCTCATCTCAGTTTATGGCAGCATTATTACAAGAAGTAGTTGTAGTTATCTTTTGTGTGATCTTTCCTAAAGGGTGTTTCATTTTTTCTTATCATCTTGTCTGTCCTAATGGTGAATATATTGGATTTGATCATAATCTCTTAAACGATTAGAGACCATACGTGAATGCTGATGCACTTTCTTAAATAAAATCTACTCGCTTGAATGAAGTAAATTAACATGAATTGATGCCCTTGCCACTTTCTCTCAAACTTTTCTTTTGTTTTAGCAGTGGGTTGGGGTTAAAATGCAAAACAAATTTAATTATTCAGTTTTGGTCTGGAAAAGCATAGACATTGTTTGAATTCTGAGAGCCTAAAATCTGGTCAATTTTGTGTCCTTTGAAATTGAAATGCTTTGTTGTTGCAGAAGAGAAGTTACAATGATTTTCTGGCCTCCTTTCAAGATATCATCACTTTTTGACTGATGTTCATTTGCAGACTTCCTACGCTCCAGCATGTTAGTTCTAATGAATTTAGGTTTATGATTGTTTCAGAGTTCCACCTTGTCACTCAAAATTAAAGGTGCTGGAGATATATTTGACGTAACCTTATTTTTCTTTTTTTGGTGTGTCTTATTCATCACGTATCAGACTGTTAGAGTTCCTCTCTGCAACTCAAGATGAAAAGTGCTGGAGATATATTTGACATTTTTTTTTTTTTCGTTTTTGTTGCTTTTCCATTAAGTGTCCTTTGAGAACTGTTTTAAATATTTAGGATGTGTTTGTTTTTACCACTTAAATGTAATTAGAATTACAGTTTTTATTATTATTTTTTTTTTGGTCAAATTGCCACTTATTTTGAGATTAATTCACATAACATAACTTACCAAACACTATAAAGTGTTAAGTGAAAACAACTAACAACCCTTTAGTCTTTGTTGGTATTCTTGGATCTGAACTATCCTTATTTATGATGAAGAATAAAAGTTGACTCTACTAAACTTTTCCCACTTGTTTAACTCTGTGGATAGTTTTCTGAAGAACATTTTAATTCAGGACCATCATTTTTCCTTATTGCAACATGAAACTGAAAAACTTCGAAATGATATAGAGAAGATGCGCAGTGAATTGAGGTCAGTTTTACAGATAAGCAAGCTATGTTTATACTTTCCCATGTGAAAATTTCTATGGTTTTTTTGGCACTTCATAGTGCAAATACCTTGCTTGTGATGTAGGTATGAAATTGACAAAGTTACTGCAGGGCAACGGTTGGATTTGAATCTTGAAAGAGGGTAACGAAAGTGTGATTCTTGCTTTCCTAGTATGCCATAGCTCCTTTTTCAGTAAAATCTTTCTGACATTGTTAATATTATCTTCCCTGGTGACATCAAATGTAGGAGGATAAGAGAGGAGTTAGCAAACCAAAATGCTGAAACCTCTAACCTAACTAACAAACTTGATCGGGTGAGTTATATGAACGAAATTGAGAAATAGTTCTGTTTAGTTAATTGAATTTTTGAGATTGCTCCTTCCTGTTAATTGATCACATATATATATGATTTTCAGGAAATTCATGAACTAAGGGCCCAGTTGGAAGCAGCAAAATATGATGTGATAAAGTACTGCATAGGTACTCTTGTTTCCATCTCTGCTGTTGGTCTTGCTGTAGTCCGTATCTTGATGTGAACTTATAGTTTACACAATGGGGGAATACCCAAAAGGTGAAAAGAATAGCTTAACCCTTTGAAGCAATTTAATGATAAAAAATTATAGTAGGAAAAAGAATGAGGCAAGGAGATCTTTATTTACAGTATCCCTTGCATCAACTTTGTACTTTGTAGCGATTTATTTTTTCATTCCTGCTCATGTAGTTCGAAATTCAAAAGGAAGGTGGAATGTTTCAGTTATCATGTAAGATTGTAAACTACCTAATCTTTTGTGTCTTTAGGTGAGTTTCTATGTTATCAGGAGAATAATACCGGTAACATTAGCAAGAATAATTCATTTTTATCTTCTTGTGTTTAATGCGATTCTGGTGACATTCAGTGTAACAATAATAATTAAAGATAGATTATTTACAACATAAAACGACATATTGTAAACAGTGTTTTAAAACTCGGCCTGGCCTGGCCGGTTGAACCGGGGCGCGGAACCTTCATTAGATCGGGTTACAAGTTTTCCTATTCATTGAAAACCCTAGAAATTAGGACATCAATCTGTGAACAATTGAATGTTGGAATGTTAGGGCTTTGGAAGAGAAATGGCTAGTGAGTGCAATGGTGGCAACGACGTCGATTTCTGGTGAGCGAATCGATCAGAAATCACAAAATAATGTCATCGGAAAAAGCTCGCTATCATCGACGATTGGGGAGGTGAACGGGGGAGGGGTGAGATGGGTTTTGGTCAGGAGGCTAAGGGGAGTGTTTTCGTGGTGATGGCCGATGGGAAGTGTTGTTGTCGCTGGAAATAGGCCCTATTTGTTAATGTTGATGGTGGTGTTTGGGGTGTTTTTCCAAGATTTTAAACCTATAGGGACTTATATGTGATTTTAAGGGTATTTTTGTTAGATTTCAAATCTTTAGACACTGGTTTGATCCATCGGTCAAACTGGTCAACACGAGACCTTATCATTTTGCCGGGTTTCACCTTGGGTTGGGTTTTAAAACATTGATAGTAAATATTATAGTTCTATTGTCGTAACTAATCTATGGATGCCCTACATTTAAAAGGTGCCATGTGGTAGCATATATTATTATATGGATGAAATTATGAATTCGAAAATGATAGAGCCACCGAAGGTTACGCACCGAATCTGTGTACCGAATGATGTGGTAAAATCGTGACCGTTGATTAATATTAATTGATAATGAGTCAACAGTCAGGATTTTGTCACGTCATTCGGTGCATAAATTCGGTGCGTAACTTTCGGTGTCTGTAGCATTACTCTTATGAATTATAACGAGGGGACCTAGTTAGGTTGATACTTAATGATATTGGGCCCATTTGAATTGTAGATATTGAATATGGTTTTTGCATAAATGCCAAGACAATGACATGGGGGTCTCTTCTAGCAGAGAGTAGCCCATCATCACCCATGGCATAAAAAGCTTAGGGCCCATTCATTTCCATTTTCATTTCAATTTTTTCTAGTAAAACGTGAAAAATGTTTTCACTAAAAGAAATTGAATTTTTGTTTCTGAAATTACAAAAACAATGTATTCAACTCAAGATAATAAAAAACCAAAAAGTTATTTTCCAGCATCAAACGGAGCAGAGAGAAAATCACATAATTAAATGCTAACTACTTTTGTAAAATAAATTTTGTATGTTAAAAATTATTATATTAACCATATATATATATTTTGTGACCGAGAGTATTCGGACTAGCTTGTGTGCATTTTAATCATATTCATAGTTCATTTTGAAATATATATATATATTTTGAGAATTGTATAATGTAATTTTATTTTTACCCTCTAAGCAAAACAAACATACACAATGTGAAATACATGAGACAATTATACGGATATGGTTAATGGTATAAAATAGTACATGAGACAATTATACAGATATGGTTAATGGTATAGAATAGTACATGAGACAATCATTTACTCTTTGAATAAAACAGTTGATGAGCCCCAAGCCCGCAACCACAAATAATCATCAAGCAAAAAGAAATAGTCTTTATAAATTGTTTTAACAAATATTTGGCTGAGTTCTATGCTCCCATTTTATGACCCCATCCTCTTTAAAGATGACGTTAACATGTTTAATCTGCAGGATTAAATCCTCAACTATTTCATGTCCATTCATGGCTGGAGTTTTGCATCAACTCGACATATATGGGTTCAGATTTGACGAGTACACCAAAGATTCAAGCTTTCAACTTTGTTTTACTTTCCAAGTGAATGAACATTTTAAAAGATTTGAGTTAACTGGCAAAGCTCTAACCAAGATTTAGTTGTTAGGAACCAGTCTCATTAGAGTGTAGGCCCAGCCAATCTAATACCTTATCGCTAACTCCAAATTTATATGACGTAGCTGCTAACAACATACAAGAGCAAAAAGCTGGGCATTTTAGGTATCAACAATTGTCAACGGAAAATTAAATACAACCCGGATTTCGTTTCAGCCACGGATTGAATCTTATCCAATTTACTGTGAAGTTGTTGAAGATTGAAGATAAAATAGAGAATTTTTATTCATTTTTTGATAGAGAGGAGCTGTCAAACATGATGTTTACCCATTGCCACAACCCTTTTTTTAACGAAAGAAAACAAAGGCAAGGCTTCCCGTCCTTTTATTACCTTACCTAAATTTATGGACTCCCATCTACTTGTCCGCATACTCTCTTAACTCATTCCTGTTTTCTGTGGTCATTAAACATCAATCTAGTATTCGATTTTACTTCTGATTTAATAAGACACCTGTTTCAACTAACACCTCTTTGAATGACCACAAACCATTACCCACCTCGCCTTGATTAATGATATTGATTGTCTAAGATCTTTTGGATGGACCCATCTCACATAATTATCGATAACAACTGCAGCTAACCAGTCCCATGTCTTAAGCGTATTGGCGAGATCTTGGGTTTATAAATAAGAGAAGTCTCTCTATCTAATATATTAGTCTTTTAGGTGTAAAACTCTCTGTGACAAATGCTATCAGAGCAGAACTCGCTCGTCTTTCGATATCCTGCCAAACGCCCATACAGAGGTGTCTATGTGTGATTATGGGTCCACATGAGAGTAAGGTGGATGGATAGATAGGGGGCCCCATCTATGATGAGGACGTCACATGATTGGATACGGGAGAATGTAACGAATCTCACATCTGAAGCGTATTAGAGAGGTCTTCGGCTTATAAATGGGGGGATCCCTCCACCTAATAGGTTAGCCTTTTGGGTGTGAAACTTTTATCCCGTGATACTAGGTATCAATGGTTATGCAGGGGTAGAGGAAGAAAAAAGTTGACACCTAAATTCGTTGGGTTTTAATGCAGAGTAAACGACCTTTTTCCCATCCAAATAATGGTTTAATAACACTTTTTCATCCACATATTTTCAAAATATCATTTTACTATCTAAATTTATATTTTGTTTTCGATTTCAGCATCGTTATAACCAACAACATCACTATTATCTTTCCTAATCATCACTTACCAAAACCTTTTAAACCTTACTCTCACTAATTTTGTCAATCGTTGGCAATCAAGGGATTAGGGTTTGTATAACCGCCCCTTTTAAGTCAAATTTTGATCAATCCTAATCATAAAAATCTAATCTTTTACTATTAAAAGACTCATTAGCTTTCTCTCTTCAAAAACTCTAATAATCTGGATCAAGTTTACTCCCTATTCGCGCGGTTAGAATATAAATGCAAGTAGTGAAATCGTACTTAAAAAATATGCAGGTGAAATGTGTCAATTAAGCCATTATTTGGGTGGGAAAAAGTCAGCTAACTCTTTAATGGTTTGTTGAGTTTAGACTTTAGATTACGACTTCTTCTGTTCTGTGCCAATACTGAAAGTCTGAAACTAATTAATTTGTATGATTAAATACGGCACTACCAACTTAGTTTTGTCTGGCCATTCTCGGCTATGCTATGCAGCTGTGGAAAGTCTCTGGTGTCTCAACAAGTCTGGAAGTGTTGTTTGTCCTTAGACTTTGCTTCTGCAATGAAGCAAAGGTCGTTCTCATGCTTTGTACCATACGCAAACTCACCAGTTTCTCCTCTTTAGAATCTCCGACAGCCTGAATCGAATTTACTTTCTGTTCACTATTAGAATATAAATTCGAGTAGTACGATGATATTTAAAAAATATTTAGGTGAAAAAGTCTCATTAAACCATTACTTAGGTAGAAAAAAGTCAGCTAGCTCTTTAATCAGTGACGGATCCAGGATCTTTGTCAAGGGGGGCTTCCGCGGCTCGGCCATTATTTGCCAAATAATTAGTGAAAACTTTAAAAAATTACCAAACATTAATAAAAAAATAATATAATATTAAGAATCTGAGAAAAAAAATATACATTAATACAATATCTTTTTACTTGAATAAATCTATGAGAAGCAAAATTTTGAGTAAAAGTGTTGAATAAACCTTAAACAAAACCTTTTTTTAATATTTTTATTTTTGGCTTTTAAATATAATAATATAAATTTTCATAGCGTTGGTCAAACCTAACATAATTAAGCTAAAGTCAACCAAAACTTAAATCAAGTCAACGTTACGTTGACTTTTAATATGAATTAATAAAAAATGGGAAATTTTTTTAGTATAAACATAGATAGTAATTCAAATTTCTTTAATAATTTTGAATAACTGAATGGTGACGTTTAAAATATAGGAAAGTGATAGGTGAAAGATGAAGAATAACGTTTTTTAAAATATAGTTAATGTTTTAATTTGAGAAAACAGGTTCATTCTTAAATAGAAAATACAAAATAAACTCACAAGATTAATATATTTTTCTCTCAAATTAGAATAAAAAACCTCAAAAAGAAAAAAAAAATGATTCAATCCTTAAATAAACTAAATTGAAATAAACAATACATATACCTAAAATCTATAAAACAGAAAACGGAGCTAATTATGACACTTTGAGTAGTGAAAATTTAACAATTTTAGTCTTAAAAAATTGTAAGAGAGAATAACATGAGAAGAGAAAGAGAAAGTAAAGAATTTGTGGATAAAATCATTAAAAAAACAGATAAAGCTGTGTAAGAAAATATTGGAGAGAGTTTTAAACTTTTAATATGACGTGGGTTTATAATATATATATATATAACATGTATAATAATTTTTATTTTAAAAAAATTTGAAGGTACATCCCGATATATATGTTAATTAATAATTTTTTATGGCTTTTATATTAATAATTTTTTTTTCAAATACGAGGGGCCTACTGAGGGCTGAATCCGCCCGTCTTTAATGGTTTGTTGAGTTTAGACTTTAGATTGCGATTTCTTCTGTTCTGTGCAAATACTGAAAGTCTGAAACATAAATTTGTATGATTAAACACGGCACTACCGACTTAGTTTTGTTTGGCCATTTTCGGCTATGCAATGCAGCTATGGAAAATATGTGGTGTCTTGACAAGTCCGGAAGTGTTGTTTATCTTTAGACTTTGCTTCTGCAATGAAGCAAGGTCGTTCTCATGCTTTGTACCATACGCAAAGTATGTAATAAATGGATACCAAAATCAAACCAGGAGAGAGAAATTCTATTTTGTCCTTGATTCGAACAACAACAATTTCTTTGAACATTATTATTTGAGTGTCATATCCAAAAGTAAAAAGATAAAAGATTAAAAAAAAAAAAAAAGAGAGAGAGAGAGAGAAAAGAAATAGATAATACAAGAAGCTCCACATAAAAGTAAAGAGAGTGTTTACCCACAGGCGGTAAAGAGAGTCCAAATTGGACTCTCCTATTTATCAGTCTCTTTTCCGTTTATTTCTTTGTTTCTTCCCCAAATATATAAACACAAAAATCCGATAAACCACAATTCAGGAGTCACCATTTCACTGCCCCTACCACTTTTTATGTAAAAAAACTTCTCCAGAACCACCATTAATCCGTCCCTTTTAGTTTTTACGGGAAATCAAAGAGGACAAATCACGCGCTTACTCGGTACGGCAATGAGTCGACTGGCTCTGGGTGCAGTGAGTCCAAACACATCACTCATATCAAGCTCACTTGGTTTCATTCCATCAGGTAATTCCCACTTAAAGCAATGAAGCAAATTAACCACAGCTAAATCAAGTGTATATAACCCAAGTTGCATACCCGGACATGATCTACGACCCGACCCGAATGGTATAAACTCAAAATTGTTTCCTTTAAAATCAGGCATACCTTCTTTCAAGAACCTTGATGGCCTAAAAGTTTCAGGATCCTGCCAAGAACCTGGATCCCTACCAATAGCCCAAGCGTTGATCATGACACGTGACCTCGCCGGAATGCGGTAACCGTCAACCTCCGCGTCCTCGGCGGTCTCATGGAGGAGGAGTGGGATTGGTGGGTGAAGTCTTAAAGTTTCTTTAAGGGCACATTTTAGGAACGTTAATCTATCAAAGTCTGATTCTTCAACTCGGCGGTCTAACCCAACAACGTTTGCTAGTTCTTCCTGCACACGTTTCAGGTCTTCCGGGCTTTTCATCAGCTCCGCCAGGGCCCATTCGATTGCCGATGCCACCGTTTCTGTCCCACCAAACATCACATCCTGCATATAAATAATACAACACAGCGCGATTAATGCTAAAAGCTGGCATTTCTTGTACGAAAGTGACAGAGAAACGTGCATGGGATGAAATGACCGTGATTCAACATAAAAATATTACCATCCTATTTCTACATTTAGTGAATCTAAAAATAACGAAAACTTCAAGGGTTAGAAATAGTTGTATATATAAATTAACCAAACTTGCTAATTTTATTTTAAGTTGACATTAAAGGTATTGTTATTTTGTTGAATATAAAATTCACCTACCATGATAATAGCTTTGATGTTATCTCTTGTGAGTTTGATGGCATTTTGTAGATCTTCTGATTCGTTTACTTTTGCTTCTTCGCTGTAAAAAGCAAGTAAATCGTCAACCATATCGGTTTCAGCTTCAACGTTTCTTTGCTTCTGCATGTGATCGTCGATGATCTTGTCAATAAACCTGTCAAGAGATTGACGAGCCTTGGCGAGTCTGGTGTTGAGACCTTGTGGGTCAAGCCACCCAAGCGAAGGAATGAAATCCGCAATGTTAAAAGCACCAAACAACTTGGAGAACTCCTGCAAAATACTAATGAATTCATCTTGGCCATCATGAGAACTCGACCCAAAAGCAGCCCGATAAGTAACGTTGCTAGTGAGTGAAAAAATCAACTCCCCAACGTTCACTGGTTTTCCATTTTGTTCGGCTACAGATCTTACAAGAGTATCAACCTCGTCTCTAACTGACTCCCACGACGCAGCCCTTTTACGGCTAAAAAGTTTCATGACACAGAGCTTACGCATCTGTCTCCAAAAGGGACCGTAGTGAGCAAAAGCCATATCAGCTCTATCATAAGTTAGATAACTGATAGCTATGGTGGCTGGTCGATTAGAGAAAATGTTGTCTTGAGCTTGAAGAACTTGGCGAGCCATTTCAGGATTCGAAACAGCCACCATGTGCAAGTACCCCATACGCATATGAAACAATCCACCGTATTGCTTAGCGATTTTCGCAAGGCCACGGTGAGTTAACTGGTCCATCATCAGCATGTTACCGATAATCGGTAAGCCTCTAGGTCCCGGTGGATATGGTAATTTACGACGACGAAAGACAAAACCTAACAAGAAGAGTAAAGGAAACATGAACAAGAAGGCCATGGTTAAAGGGTCCAAAGCTTGAATAAGAGAATCCATGCTTTGCCAATATTGGTTGAATGAGAGAGTAAAATTGTGGGTCTTGGTTTGCAACTCCAAAATGTTGCTAAGTTGGGTAAGATATTATGGACTCTTATATACTAATGTCGGCATGAACTGCACAAATTGGATTCTGTTTTTTTTATTTGTCACGCTAAATAATATCATATTAGTTTATAGGATTTTTCCGACATTCTTATATAATAATCAACAGGTCTTTACATTTTAAAAAAAAAAAATTAATTAATGTCGGTTCTTAAATGTGTAAAATGCGAGGTCTACCAATTGCATTATATTAAAGTAATACAATATTCATTTTATTTTTTTTATTCAATACAGTATTTACAAATTTTTGCTTTGACTTAAAGATTAATTATGAAAAAAAATAACAATAATATAGCTCAATGAATGATGAAAAATGTGTGGAATCAAAGAGTAATAACATATCAAATTAATCACCACTGGGTAGCCTATATAAAGGAAGATTCCTCAAATCAAGCTCAAGATCAATTAACCACCCGCATGGCTGGAGTTTTGCATCAACTCGACATATATGGGTTCAGATTTGACGAGTACACCAAAGATTCAAGCTTTCAACTTTGTTTTACTTTCCAAGTGAATGAACATTTTAAAAGATTTGAGTTAACTGGCAAAGCTCTAACCAAGATTTAGTTGTTAGGAACCAGTCTCATTCGAGTGTAGGCCCAGCCAATCTAATCCCTTGTCGCTAACTCCAAATTTATATGACGTAGCTGCTCACAACATACAAGAGCAAAAAGCTGGGCATTTTAGGTATCAACAATTGTCAACGGAAAATTAAATACAACCCGGATTTCGTTTCAGCCATGGATTGAATCTTATCCAATTTACTGTGAAGTTGTTGAAGATTGAAGATAAAAGAGAGAATTTTTATTCATTTTTTGATAGAGAGGAGCTGTCAAACATGATGGTTACCCATTGCCACAACCCTTTTTTTAACGAAAGAAAACAAAGGCAAGGCTTCCCGTCCTTTTATTACCTTACCTAAATTTATGGACTCCCATCTACTTGTCCGCATACTCTCTTAACTCATTCCTGTTTTCTGTGGTCATTAAACATCAATCTAGTATTCGATTTTACTTCTGATTTAATGAGACACCTGTTTCAACTAACATCTCTTTGAATGACCACATACCATTACCCACCTCGCCTTGATTAATGATATTGATTGTCTAAGATCTTTTGGATGGACCCATTGCACATAATTATCGATAACAACTGCAGCTAACGAATCCCACGTCTTAAGCATATTGGAGAGGTCTTAGGCTTATAAATAGGAAAAGTCTCTTTATTTAATATATTAGTCTTTTGGGTGTAAAACTCCTTGTGACAAATGGTATTAGAGCAAACCCTGCTTGTCTTTCGATGTCCCATCAAGCGTCCATACGAGGGCATCCATGTGTGATTGTGGGTCCACACGAGAGTGAGATGGATGAGTTAGTAGGGGGCCCATCTATGACGAGAGCATCACAGGATTGGATGAGGGAGAATGTAACGAACTCACATCAGAAGCGTATTGGAGAGGTTTTAGGCTTATAAATAGGGGAAGTCCTTACACCTTAGCCTTTTAGGTATGAAACTCCTAGCCCGTGACACTAAGTATCAATGGTTATGCAGAGGTAGAGGAAGAAAAAGTTGACACCTAAATTCATTGGGTTTTAACGCAAAGTAAATGACTTTTTTTCCACCCAAATAATGGCTTAATGACACTTTTTCACCCATAGATTTTTAAAATATCATTTTATTATCTAAATTTATATTCTGTTTTCTATTTTGGCATCGTTATGAACCCACAACACCACAATTATCTTCCCTGATGATCACTTACCAAAACCTCTAAAACTATACTCTTGCTAACCCTATCAATCGTTGGCAATCGACGGATTAGGGTTTGTATAGCCACTCCTCCCAAGTCAAATTTTAATCAATCCTAACCATAAAAATGTAATCTTTTATTACCAAAAGACTCATCGGCTTTCCTTTTTCAAAAGCTTTAATAATTTGGATCGAATTTGCTTTCTGTTCATCATTAGAATATAAATTCGAGTAGCGCAATGGTATTTAAAAAATATGGAGGTGAGAAAATGTCAATCAAGCCATTATTTAGGTGGGAAAAAGTCAGCTAACTCTTTAATGGTTTGTTGAGTTTAGACTTTAGATTACGACTTCTGTTCTGTGCCAATGCTGAAAGTCTGAAACTATTAATTTGTTTGATTAAATACGGCACTACCGACTTAGTTTTGTTTGGCCATTTTGGGCAATGCAATGCAGCTATGGAAAATATGTGGTGTCTTGACAAGTCCGGAAGTGTTGTTTGTCTTTAGACTTTGCTTCTGCAATGAAGCAAGGTCGTTCTCATGCTTTGTACCATACGCAAACTATGTAATAAATGGATACCAAAATCAAACCAGAAGAGAGAAATTCTATTTTGTCCTTGATTCGAACAACAACAATTTCTTTGAACATTATTATTTGAGTGTCATATCCAAAAGTAAAAAGATAAAAGATTAAAAAAAAAAAAAAAGAGAGAGAGAGAGAGAAAAGAAATAGATAATACAAGAAGCTCCACATAAAAGTAAAGAGAGTGTTTACCCACAGGCGGTAAAGAGAGTCCAAATTGGACTCTCCTATTTATCAGTCTCTTTTCCGTTTATTTCTTTGTTTCTTCCCCAAATATATAAACACAAAAATCCGATAAACCACAATTCAGGAGTCACCATTTCACTGCCCCTACCACTTTTTATGTAAAAAAACTTCTCCAGAACCACCATTAATCCGTCCCTTTTAGTTTTTACGGGAAATCAAAGAGGACAAATCACGCGCTTACTCGGTACGGCAATGAGTCGACTGGCTCTGGGTGCAGTGAGTCCAAACACATCACTCATATCAAGCTCACTTGGTTTCATTCCATCAGGTAATTCCCACTTAAAGCAATGAAGCAAATTAACCACAGCTAAATCAAGTGTATATAACCCAAGTTGCATACCCGGACATGATCTACGACCCGACCCGAATGGTATAAACTCAAAATTGTTTCCTTTAAAATCAGGCATACCTTCTTTCAAGAACCTTGATGGCCTAAAAGTTTCAGGATCCTGCCAAGAACCTGGATCCCTACCAATAGCCCAAGCGTTGATCATGACACGTGACCTCGCCGGAATGCGGTAACCGTCAACCTCCGCGTCCTCGGCGGTCTCATGGAGGAGGAGTGGGATTGGTGGGTGAAGTCTTAAAGTTTCTTTAAGGGCACATTTTAGGAACGTTAATCTATCAAAGTCTGATTCTTCAACTCGGCGGTCTAACCCAACAACGTTTGCTAGTTCTTCCTGCACACGTTTCAGGTCTTCCGGGCTTTTCATCAGCTCCGCCAGGGCCCATTCGATTGCCGATGCCACCGTTTCTGTCCCACCAAACATCACATCCTGCATATAAATAATACAACACAGCGCGATTAATGCTAAAAGCTGGCATTTCTTGTACGAAAGTGACAGAGAAACGTGCATGGGATGAAATGACCGTGATTCAACATAAAAATATTACCATCCTATTTCTACATTTAGTGAATCTAAAAATAACGAAAACTTCAAGGGTTAGAAATAGTTGTATATATAAATTAACCAAACTTGCTAATTTTATTTTAAGTTGACATTAAAGGTATTGTTATTTTGTTGAATATAAAATTCACCTACCATGATAATAGCTTTGATGTTATCTCTTGTGAGTTTGATGGCATTTTGTAGATCTTCTGATTCGTTTACTTTTGCTTCTTCGCTGTAAAAAGCAAGTAAATCGTCAACCATATCGGTTTCAGCTTCAACGTTTCTTTGCTTCTGCATGTGATCGTCGATGATCTTGTCAATAAACCTGTCAAGAGATTGACGAGCCTTGGCGAGTCTGGTGTTGAGACCTTGTGGGTCAAGCCACCCAAGCGAAGGAATGAAATCCGCAATGTTAAAAGCACCAAACAACTTGGAGAACTCCTGCAAAATACTAATGAATTCATCTTGGCCATCATGAGAACTCGACCCAAAAGCAGCCCGATAAGTAACGTTGCTAGTGAGTGAAAAAATCAACTCCCCAACGTTCACTGGTTTTCCATTTTGTTCGGCTACAGATCTTACAAGAGTATCAACCTCGTCTCTAACTGACTCCCACGACGCAGCCCTTTTACGGCTAAAAAGTTTCATGACACAGAGCTTACGCATCTGTCTCCAAAAGGGACCGTAGTGAGCAAAAGCCATATCAGCTCTATCATAAGTTAGATAACTGATAGCTATGGTGGCTGGTCGATTAGAGAAAATGTTGTCTTGAGCTTGAAGAACTTGGCGAGCCATTTCAGGATTCGAAACAGCCACCATGTGCAAGTACCCCATACGCATATGAAACAATCCACCGTATTGCTTAGCGATTTTCGCAAGGCCACGGTGAGTTAACTGGTCCATCATCAGCATGTTACCGATAATCGGTAAGCCTCTAGGTCCCGGTGGATATGGTAATTTACGACGACGAAAGACAAAACCTAACAAGAAGAGTAAAGGAAACATGAACAAGAAGGCCATGGTTAAAGGGTCCAAAGCTTGAATAAGAGAATCCATGCTTTGCCAATATTGGTTGAATGAGAGAGTAAAATTGTGGGTCTTGGTTTGCAACTCCAAAATGTTGCTAAGTTGGGTAAGATATTATGGACTCTTATATACTAATGTCGGCATGAACTGCACAAATTGGATTCTGTTTTTTTTATTTGTCACGCTAAATAATATCATATTAGTTTATAGGATTTTTCCGACATTCTTATATAATAATCAACAGGTCTTTACATTTTAAAAAAAAAAAATTAATTAATGTCGGTTCTTAAATGTGTAAAATGCGAGGTCTACCAATTGCATTATATTAAAGTAATACAATATTCATTTTATTTTTTTTATTCAATACAGTATTTACAAATTTTTGCTTTGACTTAAAGATTAATTATGAAAAAAAATAACAATAATATACCTCAATGAATGATGAAAAATGTGTGGAATCAAAGAGTAATATCATATC